AAAATGATGTAGAATAAAAAGTAAAAGGAAATAATGATGTAGGAATGAAAAAGGTGAAAATTTGAATACTTTCTCTTCCCCTTATTTTCATTAATGCACCGAGACGTGCAATTTTTCACCCCCAAGGTATGCGACGAGGGTTTGAGTGCGTGTGCGAGACGTTTGAAAACACGACCGAGTGTGCGATGAGTGGTAAGTAGAGAGTAAGAGTGAGAGGATTCGCGACGCGACGACGGGTATGAGAGGCCAAGGGGGACTAGGTCATTCCCCCCTTGCAGTATCGAGTGTGCAAGGGTCATTGCGAGACACTGAACCCTTCGTTTTTACCACCCTCTCTACTTTCATTCCCTCTCTATCCCCTCGCCTGTCGCACTTACGGCTCCACCCCTTACTTTTTTGCCACGATCGTCGTTTACAACCCAGATACGTTTGTAGTCTTTCACTATTGGCAAAGGGAGAGGAAATGCGTGGCCGTAAACCACTAGTTCTATATTATGAATTTATGGAAAATTGCTAAGTCAAAATGGTCGTTATATTACTGGTGATAAAATTTCTTTTTATTATAACGCATTAAATAAGTTCTTCATTTATTGTATCGCGAATATATTTATAGATATTTTTTAATATATTTATCTAAAGCAGATTTTTTATTCATCATGTAAGGTAAATAACTCGAGGGAAGTGGAGAGTAATCAGCTGCAAGAATTAGTGGACTTGTGAATGAGTCAGAGCAACTATGATGGAGGGGAATGTAAGAGAAGTAGAGGGTCGAATCGTCTGGACGCCAGAATACGAGATTCTACAGTCTGGTCCACGTGATTTGTGCAACGCGATGTACCAATTAGCACGTGCTTTTGTCAACTTCTTTTGACCTTTACTCAAAGGTACTAGACGACAAGTTTATGCATTTTTTTAATATTACTTTTTCCTATGAAAACGATTATGCTTTGAGAAATGAAGATGAATATTTTAATAAAAACATCTAATTGAAATTCACGTATTTCATATTTACTTCAAACTCATTTAATGAAATATTTTTCTTATATAAAAATTATTTGTTTGAAAAGAAAAATAAGACCAACCATTTCAGAATTGTAATTTAACAAATAAATTCTTTTTTTTTAATTCTGTATAAATTATGCGAATTTTTCATTATAATATAGAATAGTAAAATGGTGAAAAAAATTAAAAAATTGCAAATTATTAATTATATATTTATAAACTGACTTTTTAATGTAAAATGTTAGAACTATTATTTTTTTTATCTGAAAATATCAATAAACTCTAGATGTTATTCTCGTTCTAAAATTATCTCAGGTTACAATCAGTTCAATGTTTTGTTATGTTAATTTTTAAAAAAGTCGAATTATCATCTGTTTTGCACGATATAAACCAGAATCACTGATAATATTAACATTCTCAAAAAAAAAAAAAGAAAAATAAATCATTAATAAGATTAACATAAAAAATGCAATGGCCCGAAGATGTAACAGTTCTGTTATGAGCTATTTAATGATGTCAGTATGTAAGAATTTAATACTTATTACAATGTAATGTACACGAGTGAATGTAGAGATAAATAAAAAGAATTGAAAGGATATATGTATATGCACATTCAAAACTATACAGATGCAAATAGAGTGAGTGTCTGCGCTTACAACACACGTTGCGGGGACCCATTGCCCTCGACAAGTTCTTGATTGGGGCATAACCAGACACAACATCCGATCAAACCCAGCAGCGCTAATGCTCATCGTCACTTTCCTTTTCTTGTTTCAGACTTATTGGTTCAGTAAAACAACTCTATACATATAATATAGGTAAAAGTTGATTATTCACATTTCTTTGATGTTTGGTATCGTGAAAGTAAATACAAGAGTTTTTCTCTTTATTCCTTAAAGTTATGTTAAAACTTAATGATGAGAGAAGAGTAAAAGTTTTACATCTATAGAACTCGGCTCTATCACTTTTCACTTTTACTCAATGACGATTAAATTGCACACGCGATCCTCCGCGTCGCCAGACTTAATCGACATTAAACTTGCTACTTTCCACGCACATATACAGATTTATCATACATTAGAAAGTGTAATAACATCGTGACTGTAAACAGCTGATTTAAATGATTCTTCAAACAGTAAGTAATTAAAGAAAAAGATTATGGTGATTAAAAGTTTAAAACTTTCAAATATTGATGATTTCATGACGATAATGATATCATTGATATGATCTTGCATAGTTCAACGAGGAACGTCAGAAATACTTGGAATATTTATCGTCATCTTGTTAACTTTATCACCTTCTGTGTGGAGGCCAAGGTCTATTAATGTATAATATGTATATGTATGATAATAGTTGAACCTATGGAAGTATATTATTTAAAATTAAAAAGATATTTATTGTCATATAATAAAGAAAAAAAAGATCAATGTCATCGACCTCACCATCAAATATTCATGCATGTAATAAATTCAATAGAATAATCTATGTAGTCACGATCACTTATTACGTATTTTAATATAAAACACCTGTGCCATATTTTTTTTGTATAATAAATATAAAATTCTTTAATTAAATACTAAAATAATAGTGATAACATTCGGATTAAACTATAATGTTTCTGCTGAAAGCCATTACCTTTGACAAAAATTATAACTTGAATCTTTGCACATTTAATTTACACCAGATTGTTTTTTTTTTCTTTTATTTTAGTTGATGAACAAATATTATTGATGACTTTAAATACTTACAGAATAAATTTGTCTATTGTTCAAAGTGTAATTTATATATATATATCAATTTTGATAAGATAATAAATATTTGAATATGTACGTTATTTAACACGAAAAATATTTATTCGACATTGAAAAAAATATTTTAGAGAGAAAGCCAGCAGAATCGACCTCTAAATTTAAAACGATAGAGACGATGACGTTAGACGAGACCATGACCATGAGAGAATCCGAAAGAGCTGTCCTATACGTGTGTCGAATGCTACGCGTCGCAAGGACAAGGTCAGCAAGTCATTTTTTTGCTTCTATTTTTTCTATCTTCTCATTCCTTCAATATTGCCATCATCAGCAACCGACAAGTACTTAAATTGCTGAATTTATTTGACTCCAATGTGTTTTTATCCCGAGAAAAATCATTTATTTTAGAACGAAAAAAACTTCATTTTTTTTTTAAATTAAGAAAACACTTTCCTAGAATAAATAGCCATGTATATTATTCTATATTCTTTTTAAGTATTCATTTTTATAGACTACAAAAAAATTTCTCTCTAGATACTAATAATAAATAAAATTTACTAACAATAAAAGAATCTCTCTTCAAAGTATACAGAAAACAAAAATTTCCAAGATATTCAGTACCATTTTTAAAAATAAAAATAAACTTCAATTTAAGCTAACAATATAAAGATAAAGACTACATTGACAAAAAAAAATGAGACTCGAGTGCATATAAAATGTGAAATAAATCCGACCTTCATTCGAAATCAAGCTATCGCGGCGGTCATAGGTTCGATAAGAAGCCACAGATTAAAAACATTCAAAGTCGAGAATACAAGATAGTCAAGAAAGTCTATACAACATATACTACATGAAATATAGACATCGAGTATATTTATATACATTGCTGAAAGAAAAGTCAAATTCATCCAGTGAATCACGCGACTAAACAAGCATGACTCGTGTCACTCGGTCAATGAAGTCGGCGTGTATATCATATGGAGCTAACATCGTGAGCACCTATTGGACCGATTATTATTTAACGCGCATCATTCCATCCCGAGGTCATCACCTTCAACTGCTTATTCACGGACAGATATCAGTATTATCCAGAAATTTAACCCGCCTCCTGTCCGGACATATTATGCAACACACCAGTGCGTCCGATCCCCTTTCGTTCGGTCATCATTAACGTGTTTCGATGAGAGTCAGAGTAATCGAACAAGTATTGAAACCACACGACTCTCATCGTTGCCCGAGGTCACGATTGTTGATTAAAACGAACCGTCTGTTCAAGTTTTATAATAAAATTTTATTCTACTCCTACTAAACTGCTAAACCATACTGTTTTATTTTTTTATTATTATTTATTCATTTTATTTAGCTATTTCCTGCTTCTTAGTTGTTGATAGATTATATTCATTATTAAATTCTGCTATGAATTTCTGTGGTCAGATAGTGTAACGCATCTGGTTGACAACAGACTGATAAACTCAAACCGTCTCATATTCTTTATAGTTTTATTGTACATCAGCCGGTTCGACTTTCTTTCACCCTGTTCCCCTCTTCCTCTTGACTAAAAGCAGCAGCAGCAACGGTCAAGGTGTGAGGTCTGTTCTACACATATATTTCAATAAAGACAGGAACGTTTCAAGCGGCGATTGTGTTGACGGTTAATCGCATATAAGCAAATCTATCGATCGATCCTAGTGTCCTTCAAACCGATATTAAGTCATTCGACTTATCGGTAATAATCGAACGACATTTTTTAATCTAATACTCATACACAGCATATATACATTGTTACAGGATTTAATTATTTAAGCATGTAATTTAAATAATTTAAAATTAATTCTCTACTACAATTAATTTATAATGTCCTCATTGCAAAATTCAAAATGATTACTCAATGTCGGACAAAAAAAATTGTATTCAAGTTGAACTTGATGATAATTGTAGTATTTTTCAATAATGACTGAAAAATCGATAAGAGCAAAAGATCGAAATGAATATTGTTTGTTTTTAATTGTTAGTTAATTGAATGTAAATGAAAGTAATGTCATTCAATTACAAAACATTGTTTTCTTCAATAGGTGTTTTCTTGAAATAATATATCTTTGATTTAACAGATAAATTGATCAACACAAATTCTTTGTAATGATTAATGAATAGATATTTCTTTAAATTATTCCGGGTAGTTAAAATATGTCCAAAGATGGTTATGAAGAAAATAATAATTAAAAGAATAGAAAAAATAAAGCAATGACTCACCAAGATCAGGAATAGAACTCGTGGGCTCCTCATGGTGACCTTTGCCCTCGGATGAGGGCCTTGCCCTTGGTGGTGGTGGTGGCGGTGGGGGCCGCATGCTAGAGGTCGAACTGACAACGACGCTAGTTGGTGGATTTGTTGATGTACTAGTCCGATGTCCTGTTGGTGCTGAATGTAATGATCCTCCGCGCATTTGAGACTGGGGTGACATGAGGACTGTGTCACCTCTAGTATGTCCGCCTGAAGGCTGCTGTGGCCCTCTGGGACACCATCCGTTGAGTACTCTTATAGCACTCCTCACTTCCGCCTGCAACTCCGCCGTTCTATCCCTCGCTGTATGAGCCACTTTGTTAGCGATTTAACCCGCTACAGCGGGTTCAACAAATACTAATTATTTATCACTTATCTGCCGACACTTACACTAATTAATATTCAACACTTTATGTGTTATTTACCGTCTGTTCCCAAGTACTTTAAGTAGTGTATCGTTTTCTAGTCTTTCTACGAGCAATAATTAATTTTACACTCAATAAGTAACACACTCAGTTTGACAGATAAATGTATTAAAGATCACTTATAAAAATGTATTTAAACCAATCTAAAGTTAAATATCACTGTCACTATCACTTACGTCTTATTACATTCCGTCACTCACTGAGTCTTTGTTGGTGTTTCTATATGCGATATATTGAAATAAAAATGTAAGCGCCAATATACTCATTAATGTTCATACTAAAACAGTAGTAATATAAATAATTTTTACGAAATACATACGTATATAATAAATGTATATAATCGTAATAAAAATTGCAAGATAATATTTTCACAAGACGTACCAAAAAATTGATATCATCGGCGCAGGCTCCGCGGCGTTTGGTGACGGCGACACTTTTGAAAGAAGGTACACGCGGACCACTGGCGTAGACCTTGTTTCGCTCTTCGTGTATCCCCACTACAACGTTTTTGTCTCTCCGCGAAGAAGAGAAAGAAAAAGAAGAGGAAGAAGAGAAGAAGTGCAAGAGGATGTCGCTGCCCTTCACTCTTGTGGCCTTCCTTCCGTCTGTCTTCTGTTTACTTTCTTCTAAGTAATGTGCAAATGACTTTTTAACAATATATATATATATTTTTTTTATTGCATACTTTGACAAACAATAAAAAGATTCACAGACACTTAAGCTTATGATCGGTACATGAATGTTCGAACTCCAATGTAATCAGATATTCCTTAAACACCCAAATAGCACAGAAAAACAGCTGGTCAGTGTGCGACAACGTGCGTATGTATCTAATGCGGGGGTCGCAGACACTGTGTCACTGCCGGTGCGGGCCGACACGACCGTCGACGGCGCCGGCGAAAGTGAGAGTGTAGCAGGCAGTGTAGATTGAGCGGTGCGTGAGATTAAGCGCTCAAACCCGTCACGAGTCCGCGCTCTGCTGCGGTACGTACGGTGGTGTACAGCTTGCGAATCTTTCTCTCTTTCACCCCCTCTCTTTATTCTTATTAACGCGACGGAACGTTCTGATATCCGCCGTGCGCACTTCCAAACCTTTATAAACTCTCTTTCGCACACACGCGCCGCCCAAAACCTCCCTGTAGACTATCATAGCTGATGTTTCATGCGCGCCCATTGCCTACTCATCGTCCAACTTTATCCCCCATGAAAGGGAAAACGAGCCACGCGTGCGCATCCAACCGGCGGGAATCCACGATAAGCGTAAGAGATGCGTTCTCCAATGCTCCCAACACCCAACTGTAAACATACCAACCGATTTATTCATGTCATTAACATTTTTGCATTCTCCAAGTATTTTAATTCAATTGAAACTACATTATTGTCATTAACATATATTTGTTTATCTTTCGAGAATACTTTCTTGAATACTCTATTTAAAATTGTACTTATCAAAAGTTGGATATCCTTAATGAACATTAGCTGCTTTTTTGTAGTTGTATGATTACAATTTACATTAATTAAATATTTTTTTTTGTATCGTTTTATTGTAGTGGTATTAATAAAATTTGTATGTGTTTAAATTTACGATTAAAATTTTAGGCACTTACGGTGGGCAAATTAACCAGCTAAATAGAGTAATATAATCTGACTTGAGTTTTTAATAACCTGTTTGTAAATTCAATTATTTATATCCTTGAAGTTGAAACGATTAAATGATTGAATTTTTAATACAACTGAAGTAGTTGAAAACTTCAAATGTCACTTGAATTTTCAATAAGTTTTTTTCTCTTTATCACGCAATATTATTAATTGATCTTTGCATAGAGACAAATTCGATGATAAATGACACTACTTTATCAATTTAAATAAAATTACTCGATACAAGTGTTTAAAATTAAAATTTTAATGAATAAATACAATGTAGCAATCTGTTTCCTTATCATTTGAGTAAATAAAAAAAATGTTACAATAAATGACAGCAATGATTTATATTCATTTCCTATGTGAAAGTAAACATCTAAAAGAAATGAAGTTTCACTTGAGAAGAGGCATATTTGTAACTGACAGTGGAGTTTACAAATGATTGCTGAGGATTAATCGCAATGACGTCGATGACACTGATGTGAATATTTATAGGGAGAGCAGGGCACAATGCATTGAATTTCGTCCCTGGAAACATACAGCCGCCCATCAGTCCAACATAAGCCAGGGGTGGCAAAATGCGCGTCGCGGGTGCGCGCCCGCTATCACATGGCCTTGTCCTTGAACGAGGCTCGTGAACCCGACTGCTGCTTTTATCGATCAGCCCCCGCATCCCGCTTCGACGCACTCACTATAACCATCTATCTATTCCGATGCAATGCCGTACCTACCGACTGAGTAACTTTGCTGTTAAAATTCGAAAACATGACATTCAGTTAATTAATATTATGTCTTAATAATTATCAAAGTGATAACGAGAGGCTCATTACAGAGATATGATTTGGTCATGATTTCACAGAATAATGAAGTTTTAAATAAAATCTGAAAGAAATAAAAGGGCTTAATGGCTGTGAGTACCACTGTACCAATCAATGAATAAAACCAGACGAAAGTTGATTTAAAAGGAACGTACAGGAAGAAATGAAATAATAGGTAGAGCATAGACGGGTGCATGAAGCCTTTAGAATTGAGTCTGAGGGCTACGCTAGACAACCGATTTCAAAGCGGGCGTTGTAGGTCAACCAGTCGAGGTCAAGGTCTTTCTTTCTCACTCTCTCTTGCTCTCTCGGCGGCTCTTAAATCGAGAAACTGCGCTGCCCTCAGTCCTTATTGTCCATGAAGGCTCACCGGATCTATTCAGAAGCAGGAAGGGAGAAGGAGACGAGAGAGGAAGAGAGAGCAAATGCGATCTGTCTCGACGCAAACGACCTTGTGTCGTTAAAAAAACCCTTCAAAGATCATTTCTAATTCTTTCGATATTAAGATTTATAATATAATATTCTGCATTTATTTATCGCAATTGCAGCACGATCAAATTAAGCTGGTAATAAATAAAAGTATTTTTATGAGTTTATAATAAATCGGGCGAGCTTATATAGTCTCACGCAAGAGTAAATGAAGAGAAATAAAAATTGAGTGGCTAGTCTTTGAATAAGTGCGTAAGCCGGTTATCGTGGTGACGATTTATGGCGTGTCGTGCGTTTAGATCTAGATGAACTTGAATCAGTCAAACCGGTCTTGACGTAGGTTCGTTGCAGTCTGGGTCGATGCTGCGCGATCTCTAGTTGTATTAGGTTAGGGACTGAGTGTGTTATAACACGCATGAGTTGAAATAGTACAGACCAAGTAGAAGACACGAGAAGAAAGAAGAGGTATAAAACATCGGAGAGCATAGTTTAAGAAAGACAGATGATCATGAGGGATACTGCTGTGCAAGAGAGCTAAGATGTTGATCAAGGTCGAAACTCGCTCTCGAAGGAGGTCTTTACTTTTCTTATCTATTTACGAAATATCTCCCGGCTGCTGCAGCTGGTATAGACATTTTTTTTCCTCCAAAAAAGTAGTGATAATTTTTTCTCTTATTTTTCTTCCTCAAGATTCATCAATTATAAATGATTCCTCTAAAAAAAAAACAGAATTACATAACACGGCAATCGTGACACGATTTGAAACTCAAATACAAGAGCAGACGGTCCAGGACCAGAAGAGAGAGAATGTGTGCGACTGGTTCAAGTTCACGCGGTTGAACAGGAGCCCAAGGCCATCAGAGGAGAAAGCCTTCCTTGTTCACTGCCGATAATATATTGCCAATGGCCCACTGCTCTATACACATACTCATTTGCGAGGTCAACATGTCTATTTTTTAAACATTAGCTGCTGCTGCCTACCTATTTTCATTATTCAATTTTATTATCTCCTACACAGACGTATACAGAAAAAAGGTAGAACGTGATAAAAATGCCCAATCGATTTCGGGCTACTCACGACTTTTATTAGCAAAAAAATCAAGATCTACGATGTACGCCGAGACAAAGAATAACTTGAAAAAAAAAAACAAATAATGTTACTTTTGGGTAGATTATAACTTTTCTTTGTTTCAGCTTTTTGATTAGTGAAGAAATTTTTTTCATGTTATTTATTTTAATAAAAATAGTATTGATCAAAGTTGATTAACATAAGACCTATCATTTTTTTCTAGTAACATCATTAATTGAAGATTTCGCTAAGCTGGCAAATTTTATCTTAAATTTTTCGTGTAAAGATCATGTGAGAGTAGTAAGAAAGCGAAACTTTATTAAACTAATGTACTCACATGTACTGAGACTTTCATTACGAGATCCTAATGACGAGTACACGCACTAGCAAATATCTGAAAACTCGAAACAATTCTGAAACAATGAAAATAATTTATTCTTCAATATAAACATGTTAATTCTTGAAAGTAAATATGATAAATAGAAGGAAGAAAATGGACGACACAAATGTAAACACAGTAGATAAATAGGTATTGATGTCATGACCCAATTGAATATTTGAGGCTGTAACTTTCACAGGGTCTAGAAATCAAAAGTGAATTCCACACTTCTTGAACCGCAACAAAAATGAGAGTAAGAGTGAGGCCCATTTTACTTTCACTTTTTTCACTAATCGAAAGTGATGCAGTGAGATAGTGAGGTGAGAGTAAAAGCCATATGTAAAAGAATATGTGGAGCTGAAAATTTGATGAAAGTAAATATGTCACACTAGTTTCATTCTATTGCCATTCCCTTGATCGGAGAACGGCTGACGCCATTGAACTAGTGACCTTCATACGAAAACCGGTCCCCATTTGAGGGCCTACAGCATTTATCTGCGAGTCTACACGTCTAGACATTCGATCCTGTAAAATTTGCATTCACCATTAGACCTCAAAATATTAGAAGTTATATTTTTAAACTTTCACATCAAAGTCAACCGATTTTTATTACATCAAATCTGTTGGTTTTATAATTTTTTCTTTTACATGAAAAATATTATCGGTGGAAAACTTTGTTACTTTTAAGGATAAATTTAATTAAACAATTCGGCGATATCATATCGACAGACATCAATATACTTTGTAAGAAATTGGTATGTTATTTTATCATTTAAACGATGTGATTTTCTTTTTTAACAAACAAACAAGCAAATCGTTGATTAAAATTTATAATAATTGTATTTTATTCTGTAATAAAAATTAAACCAATTACATCCTACGAAAAATATTTTTATCAGTAAACTAAAATTATATTTACAGACACAGCAGAAAGATATGCTATATCAGTTTGCACTTGACATTGAACCCGTTTATCGACCGATCATTTTGACACAACACAGTATGGTTATATTTTTTGAGTACCAGACGTTTAAATTTTACGCACCTTACCGAATTTCATGTTCTATAAATATTTATCAATTTGATAGTCAACCGTATGAAATGTAGAAAACCACAATGGAAACAAACAAAAAATTACATTCACAAAAATAACTATTTTTACAATAGATGAAAAAAAAAATAGAAGTTAGTTTTAAGGTTTGATAGAAACTTTTTTTTTTTTACTTTGAAGCAAAAATAATTTCAGTTGAATTTGAAGCATCTAAATATATCCAATGTATCAATAAAAAATAATACAGAAAACAAATGGAAAAAATTTCAATATAAATGTTTATTGATAACATTGAATTTTGATTATCTCTTTGTATACATGACCTTATTATGTATATGTCGGTTAATTTATACGTCATATTGATCTTTACATCATACGCAGAAATTCTCCTTAGTTTATCGATATTGTATCTTATGTATTTTATTTTATCATACTTTCACAATATTGATTAATTAATATTTTTGGAATTCATTCAATTTGAAGTGTTTATAAATATAAACTATTTAAAATAATAATCATCATACTTTAAAGTAATTATTAAAAATATATAT